ACAGCAAGAATCAGCATCTTCGATAAGAATCGAAATGATGTTTGCATGTACGCCCCATGTAATATAAATGTTCCATAATTTTATTTCATTTCATATAATTCAATCTCCTATTTCTCTTAAGCTAAAAGAGAAAAAAGAAAAAACAAAAATTATTCGTTTTTTCTTTCTTTGTCATTATCTTTTTTTTTTTTAAATACACATAAATTTTCTAAAATTCATTCGAACAGTGAAAAGAATTCCGCTTAGAACTATATTTGGAATAGTAGCAGGAATTCGATGAACACGTGCCCTTGTGAAACGCCGCGACCTTAACGCTACAGAGCCGTGCCAGATCACAGACGTATAATCAGACAATTATGCTCATAATAATAGGCTGGAATTCTTAGTAACCGAGCCGTGTAGAGATTCGTCAGCAAGGGCCTATTTACCTAGGTGCCTTATGGGAAAGTTTGTAGTCGCCTGGCCGCAAAAACCGACGTGCAATTTCACGTCGACGTTCCTGGTTATTGTAACTCGCGTCCCTCCCGTACACGTAAATGCATACGTGAGAATAATTTCAACCGGTTCCCTTCAATGTGTCCGACCACCCTCTTGTATTCGAAATAAATAATGGCATGTAATTTGATAACGTCGGATCTTTCTAAGCACTGTGCACCGTAAGGTGCTTGTTTGTTGAAAGAATTTATTTCAACGGTGCATTCGGTAGTTACAGACCTCACTAACAATAAGAGTTAACACATTATCGTGTTCTGGTATATAGACTGTACAGTTGTTAACCTATGCAATTATTAAATTCCTGCAATTATCAAGGTAGCAAATTTATAGTATTGTTTTTGCGTTAAATAATATTTGATTTCAATATTACTTATTTGTTTGAATTTTTCGGAATTTTGAAGTCACTGGTCATGAATACTAAATTTATTATCGCTGTCATGAAAGCCTTCGATAACTAACGGTATTGAAATTTATTATAACCTGTAAATTAAATTAACAATTATATTCACAAAATTTCCAATAGTTTAAATATTACGATAAGAATATAACGTATTAAATGCATCGTAAAATAATTAAATAGTTTGACTTTTTAAGAAAGTATATATTACATGTTTATACTATGCGTTTCGTGGTAAATTAAGCAACAGCATTCCGATGGTGTGGGTAAGTCATGTAAAATTCGTCTAGCAATCATCGTGTTCGTTAAAATTTCAATACACCTGGGAAGTGCAATGGTATCATTTCATGTTGTGCTATGGCGATAGCTCACAATGGACACGTGTCACTAATTCATACGTCACTGGTAGAGTCCAAGCTTTCTTGACAACAGAGAGGTTAAGCCTGTCATGGCCGCTTCTCTAGCATTGCTCGGTTCTTGTGGCAACACAGGCTCGCCACGCGAGGCGAACGGTTTAGAAGATGCGCAGGCGCATTAGAACCCCTGTCGCTGGCCGCTCGTTTCTATGAGCAAGTTCACGCGTGACGCAATTTTCTGACGGCAACTTGTTTTGTTCGCATCTGAAAAGATAGCTGCGAGTACAGCTAGGACGCTGTCGCGTGACGCTTGTGTGCATCGAGCTTTAATTCTCGGAGCATGGGATTGCGGAAGCCGGGTCACTTCTGACCTGCTGTGGGAGTTTACTAAATCCGATTGCGGTTTCTGATTAGACTTTCAGTTATTTTTAAATTATTCTATAAGTACCGTATCGTTATGTGAAGGATAAATAGTATCATAAAATTATAGATAAAGATGACATTTGTTTTAGTTCGGTGAAATTAATGATTAAGGTTATGTTTTTGCATACGATATAAATATATTTCTCTATATTCTCTTACACGTAGAAAAATATTTATACCATTGTAAACAATATAATTTTTGATACTTCTTCCAGTTTTTTATCATTATTTAATCATTATATTTAATCATTTGCCCTTTTTAACATATTTATGTGGAAGTAACTAAGCAATCATCGATTGGCAAGCAGTGTAAAAGTAGAATTAGATCATTTTCGATCCACGTTAAAATTACCTCCATGTCAGGACTCAAACTTTAATTTCTGTCTGACTTCATTAAATTACATTTATTAATACTTGAACCTTTGGTTATTTGATTAGTAATTGATAAATGCATTATCATGTTATTATCAACCTTTTATATAATTTCACAAAAATGGATTTCTATTTTTTTCAATCTTTTAATACTTGAATAAATATTTTTCAGCCATTTATTTGAATTATTATTAAAGATTTATATAACATTTCTACTTTAACATTTATCATTCGATATCATCCAATTATCTTTTCAAATCGATTAATAGTAATTGTTTGGCAATATGAAAAATTTTTACAAAATAAAAATACATATATATTTATTTATATATATTTATTATGTATATATAGTTTTATATATATACATATTAATTATTATATATATTATATATATACTTGTTAATAATTATATTTATATCTTGTATATACACGAATATATATAAATACACTCCATTATATATATATATATATTGTATTAAAATGTATCAGGATATTGTAAAAAGTTATAATAAAAATATCAATATATATATATATATAATGGAGTGTATTTATATATATTCGTGTATATACAAGATATAAATATAATTATTAGAAAGTATATATATAATATATATACATATATACATATTTACACAGACACACAGACGTATAAAGGACATATACGAAGATATATAATTTTAACACACATATTAGTCCAATCAATACAATCTTTTGAAAGTCATTTCTAAGTAACATGTTCTCCCAGTATGATAAACCTTGTAATTGTATCTAATTCCACGTTTAAATGCATCGTGAACACACGAAACAGGGTTGCAAACGATTGATTTCGTGCGATCGATAGTCGGATGTTTACATGCTTGCATTAAAACGAAAGGCAGCCAGTTCGCACATTTAATAAGCTGGATAAGTAAATACAAGTTTATCGAGCGTAAAAATAAGCGTAATTTAGGAATACATCGAGAGTTCACACTGTTTATAGGAGTTTACAACGGTCTCTTTAAACGCTTTACCATAAAAATAAAAAAAGAAAAAGGAAAAAACGAGAACGAAGTACTTTCCATAAAATGTTCGATCTCGTAGTTTCTTTCTATCCGTAGCACAAAAGATATTTCAGAGATTAACTTGCAAACGTTCCCGCGAAATTTAATTCCATTTATGAGAAGCCGGAGATCGTGTCGATTTAAAAATTAATGGAAATGGAGCAGCCTGTGTGTTATTCAAATTATTGGGACTCGTATCGGTGTTATACGAATAATTTAATAAAAAAACAGGCGCAAAAGGTAGTGTATGCTACGCAATACTGTTTTAATCCTTTCGTGTCTATGTATCCATATATGTGTCCTGATGGAATATTCACTGTGAAGACTCACGTACAGTTCCAACATTAGTACATTAATATATATAATACCGTTTTTATCTTCGCGGAAAACGGCATTAGTTTAATCAAGAACAGCTACATAGTTTTAATAATTCTGGAAAACAAACAATATGGTTAGTATTTTATGTTTCGTATGTATCTGAAATGAAAAAGTAATTAGTGCAGTGAGTTTTGTGGTACGAAATTATTTGGAGCTGAAAGAGTTAACCTAAAAGCGGACACGCCTTGTTATATGCTTAGATGAATAGTCTATTTTATCTATCTCTATATAAAAGTTTGTATATATACTGCAAAGATGGTCTTGTTCTCAGTGTACATTTTTCGCTTACAGTATATAGAATTGTAATATCAGGTACAGGATAGTACGGTAGAAGTCTTTTAAGAATACTTCCGGCACTTTCTTTAAGAAATATACTACCTAAAAACATGTTCTCATTAAAGATTTTGCATTGAAATGGTATAAAAGTATTCAAGTTCTCGAGTGTGTTGAAATAGTTTTATAGGTTAGGTATGTCAATCAATGTGACAGATTACATTGAAACCATTATGCAAGATTAACAAATTAATCTTATATAAAAATAAGTGTTATACCTATATGATATTACCGGTGTTGTTATGGAAAAGTTTTCAAAATGTTTCATAAGACAATTAAAATACTTGTAAATCGATGCTTTTAATTACAGACATGAACGTGTGTTGCATACGAAATTGATTTTGCTGTTGTACATCGTGAGCGACGTGATTACTCTGGCAAGCTTTGTGCTTCGCTTATGTAGGTCTTGGTCTTTTGTACGACGTTCTCTTTTGCACAGACTAGAAAAGCAAGTAAGGAACATGCGAGAAACTAATTAGTAAATGCAAGCTTGCGTCACAATAATTCGGCATAATTCGTTAATCGCTCTACGAAAGCATTTTCGTTTTGCGCATGCGCAGGTTTCTTTTAATGAGTTTATGTGGTTAAATTGAATGAGGACGAAGTAGATTTTAAAAATTACTTTCTAATCTACTGTTCTTTTTATTGTAAAATTATATTACGCATATTAAATTGTGACAACATTGTAGCGACCTAGATTTGGCCATGGACTGAGGAAATGATCGTAATAAGGTTAACGAATCGTAGGAGATAAACTTGCTCTCGAAAGAGCATAGACAGCTGTAGTTGGTAGCGTGACACAGACAGGGCGGGTGCATCGGGCGGTGGCTTGTCGACGAGTGTCACGGTACTGTTCTAAAACAGGGCCACTACGCATGCGCGATTCCCCTATCAGCTCGCTCTTGTCTCTCTGCGTCTCTCTGCCGTAGTATTACTGTCGCTTCCCCCTCCATTCATCTTCAAGCATCCCCTCTTTCATCCTCTCCTAATCCCCGTGTGCCCTTCGCGCCAGTCGCGTCAGTTGCGTGAGAGCCTTTAACGGGGGAGGTGCTTTCAAGCACGTATCGTGCGTAGCACCCTCTCCTTTTATAATCACTGCCATTAGTAATATATATATATAAATATATATAAATATAAATATATATATATACATATGTATAACCGAAATATAAAGTAGAATATATCCGTGGCTGTACAGACGTCCGATCTGTGAATTAATAAATGTGATCTGTGAACTGTGACACCGAAACGCGTACAGTTCGTGGAGATCAACGTGATCCATTCTACACGACAGATCGACAAAATAAAACGTGCCACGGAAAGCGGAAACCGTAAGTGTTCGTTCACGCCGAGGAAGAAATAAGGTGAAGCTTTACGGACATATTATTGTGTCCGTTATTACTAGTGCTCCACTTTGCATAGCGGAGCGTACGGTCGCATTTCTTCGTGTCGAACACAGTGTATTCATTGCATCTCTCCATGTCCCTCTCCCTTTTTCCCGTCACATTCGTTTTGTGCATCGACACGTTTACTGCCTGACGCGCGTCCGACAGCCTTGTTCTCGTGTGTTTTTCTCGTCTCGTCTCTTCGGTGTGCGTTAAGGAGGATAGCGTAATATGTTGCGTGTGACGTCGTCGTGACCGAAAACGACGTCTGGATTCTGTGCACGATTCAAACGAGGAAGTCGGTGAACTTGTGCATCGTGCTAGTGTGATATTCTCGTTCCATCGTTCCCTCCCCGTTCCATCGAAATCCTCCTGTGAAGCGTGCACGACCTTCCAGCGTACATACGGCGTCTTCCTGGCGCTGATTGAGATTTAAATTCCACGGACCTTGGGCGATTTAAATGGTGAGTGAACTGCTGGCTGACTTGCTGCGTGCATCACTGTGCTCGCCGTGGTTGGCACGCTTGCACGTATACGTAAATAGGAAGCGTGTTTTCCTCGATGATACCGACCACTGTGCACACGCCGTTTGCTCGAAGATTGATTGTCGCGTATGTGTACGTGTGTTGTTTAACGGTGCATCATCAGACTGTCTAACTCGTAACGAACAAACGACATATCAGCCCCATTTTATATTCGAATTAGCAGACCCAGCATGAAATTTTTGCCGAGTAGCACGATCGATGCCTCGGGGACGCTTTCGTATACGCCCTCAACTCGTCCTTTGACCCTTAAACGAGCAAGCGCCGTATGCATCGAATATAGAACACTTTCTTTTCTCTAAATTTAAGCTAGTTACTTTCTCATATTTAGTAAATCATATTCCACTAGGGATATAGGAAAATATATCGATGTAAAATTGGAAATATCGTCTGATAATATTCCCTATCGTTTTATGAAATTTACCGTCGTTAATTTCGATTTATTAATAATAATTTTTTAATAATCAAATATGTTATACATTTTTCTATCTTGCAGGTAGTAACTGTTTAGAGTTGCTAGGTCTCTTCCTTGTCACCTTGACCCGAATAATTCTGTCTCGCGACCGTTACGTACTTACCGATTGCCGGTATAATGTGTCTAATATATCGGAGAATTTCGACATGCTGCAACCGAAAAATCGAAGGAAGGCTTACGTGCTCCTGCTCACGTGTTTAGCGGGCATATTGGCAGTCGCGTTCTTCATTGTTCCAGCGACCTTGGTGGAACCTTGATTCCCGTTGAAAGTAAAGTTCTATTTCGTGCAGCGTAGCTCAAAACCAGAGTTTATGAAATCCGTAGAACGGCGTACATTCGCGTCATGGGAGGCTAGCGAACGTGGAAACAATAATGGCGTGTATTAATCGGCCATAGCCTGAGTAGGTCAATGCAACAAGTCGCGTAAATGCCAAGCTCGATGATGATAATGCGTGAAAGGTTGAAGAATACCGGTGCGCTGGTAACTGCTATTCGATGTGAATCGTTAACAAGTGAAAAACTAGGTCGCTGTGTGCGTATACATGCACGTTATTACCGCGTACACATGCATATGTACTGCTAAAGGAAACCATACCAAGTTCGACCATGCAACAAATCATAAGTAATTTTTTGACTATATGATAATACAATTATTTACAAACGATTTATTTATTACATAATAATTATAATAAATATAACCTGATTATAATAAGATGAAAATATTTTTCTTCTGTTTTCAGTGCTCCTTTGATTTTTTTTAAGGGTAAAAGGTTAGGATTGGTCAAATATTACTAGAAGACAGACATTTTCTTGAAAATTAGGTGAATTACTTTATACTTTTAATTGTAAAAGTACCGTTAGGATATTTAAGTGTAAATAGAACACGGAACTAGGTTTACTGCGTAGTTCGTTCCTAGTCAATGTTTGAGACTATCTGTAACTTTCAATATCGCTGAAAGACACGGAGCAGAATTTTTGTTTACATTGTCACAGTATTGGTCTGAGAGTATAACATTCTATTCCAAAAGCCGTAGAAATTCGAATTTGTCCCGAAAGTCACCTTCCTAACCTATTTAATACGTTAATTAAGATACAAAAAATTATAGTGCCACTTATTTATATCTAACAGGCATCCGTATAAATTAAGTAAAATTGAAGTAAGTTACTTTAATCTAGTTTATTACGTCATTAAAGCTGCAATCAAATGCATTAAAATAGCTAAATGAAGAAATCGCTTCGTGCTATTTCATTTTCCATCTCCACTTTCATTTGCTAACCTTTTTGCAGTTATCTTTCCTGCCCTTGATAAGTCTGCTGTAAGGAACAATTCAATCCGGTTGATAATATCGAGGGAGAGCGGAATGCGATGAACTTTAAGCCAGAATGGCATGACACTCTTTCCATCGCGTTTGAATTACCCGCGTTTACGACTCGCAGCGGCGAGCATTTACGGTTATTACCGCGCCCTTAAAATTGTTCCAGGTGCTTCCCAATCGTAGCCGCGACCGAGCCTAACGTACATAAAATCCCGAGATTAATTCCCGTAAGATTGCGTTTCAACTGCTTTTTTGACCTCGAATGAATTTTATCTTGGACTGGTTTCTTTTTCGGTGTAAATTTTTCTCGCTCGTTAAATCTCATCCCGAATCTTGTTGCAAATTCTTTGTTGATGTAACATTTCTTCGTGTCACGAGTAAATTGCTTTTTGCTGAAGGTTGAACGGTGTTTTGTAAAATAGAGTATTGTCCTGTCCTATGAATTTAGTGGTTTAAAGAAATAGTGATTTCTATAGGGGAGAAATTTATTTCAGTGTTTTATCAGTTTCATATGTACCAAGAATTTAAAAAATTGAAGTATATATTCTATTTCGAAAATATATAAATAATTAATATAGATTTAATTATCTATGTTACAGCGTCAAATAGGAATATTAGAATATAAATTACAAATTTTAAATCATTTCAAAGAAAAAAGGTTAAAAAGTGTATGTATTTCTACAAATTTCTTCCTCACTCTTCAAAAAGGTTCCTAGATTTATTCCTGAGTTTAACATTGAAACAATAATCCTCTTATTTTCCAAACTTTTATTTTCTATAAAAGATGAAATGGTATGTTTTTAATAATAAAGGAATAAAAAACCGAATTTAGATTTTTGGTTATACATAATAGTCAAAATATTTTCTAAACAAAATACAATATAATTTAATATAAAGGGTGTTCCAAAAAAATGTATGCACACTTTGCGTGATTATAAAAACAGTTTTTATTTTTTTCTTACGTTTATTATTATTACGTTTATGCAAAAGACTTAATTTTTTATTACGTTTTTAAAACTCTAGTCTAAAATCAGCCATTATTTTAAATGGGTTGTACCTAGAAAAGAAAAAATAAGGTATTAAAGTGTGTATACGTTTTTTTGGGACACCCTGTATATATTTCATGAAATCAACGATTTCATAAAACAAATTATGCACAAAAGCATATCGTATTTCAAAAAGAGAGGTTATGTAACACTGGGTTAAAAAAAATTCGTTTTTATTAAAACAGACGTACATTTGACACAATTCCAAAATTAGTGTCATTAAAAAAGAAAGGAGGAAACAAATACATTGAGTACGCAGTTTATTAAGAAAGTACTCCGTGCCAAATATTTCTGAACAGTGACGCCGGTTGTTGCCGTTCGCGGATCGACCGTTTTGTCCCTTCGGTGTGATACGCGTATCTGCATGTATATCGCGTATATTTGTCTGCATACGTCTCTCTTGTGTTTACGTTGCCCACGTTCGAGCGTCCCTGGTGTTTAGCGAAAGAGGTGTCGAGTTTCAAAGCAGAGCAAGTCACCGCGACTAACACCGAACAAAACGCGTATGCACGTGCATTGTGTGTGTACAGTCCACGGTGTATGCAGAGAGAAAGAGAAGCGTGTAACCTACAGGAGGGAGGAGTCACTATCCGCGTAGACCGGATGGATGAAAAATGCTTGAAAAGTAGTAACGCGACGCAGGAAATAGAGAAAGTGGAACGTGTCTTCTCAGGATTAAAAGTAGTGTCTCCAAAGACACGGTTAGGCATAGAAATGTACGTTGCAAAAGGAACTAACGATAGTGAGCTCGGATTTGTTACAGGATTGTACAGCGTGGTTCAAAAACCGCGGTTTAATTGGAATGTGGAACAAGCGAGTTCATAAGACGCGCGAATGTTTTTAAAATGGCGCGTTTCGACACTATATTTAACATAGTTTATGGCGTATATTTTAAACTTCGGATTTTATTATAAAAGAATTTATAAGTTTATTTTGAAGTGAATGCAAGGTATTATTTTTACAAATTTCAGATCTTTTCTGAAAGTAATATATTAAGTCTGAGAACCACTAAAAGCGACGAGAAAAACGAGTAACAATGTAGCTCGATTTTTCGATGATATGTAACGTGAAATTTGATTGGAAAGTAGATTGACGTGTTACAAAAATACATTTTCAGCGTGGAAATAATGGTGGAAAGAAATTCAATTCTTTTTTCTTTTTGTAGCGCCACTATGGCCAAGAAATTCTGGACAATAAGACACAAAAGGAAGAGTAGACGAGTCAGCGTAGAATTTAAATTCTTGATCTCACGGTCACTGACCATGGCATTCAGGCAATGCCACAGTGTTGTTGAACGAGTTGAAGATCAGTGCCCCCTGCTTCCCGGGCCGAGTTCGATGAAAGATCGGACGATCAATGAGTCACTTATGTATTCACGCCAGAAAAAAGCCGTTGTGGAATTTAATTAACGCGACATGTCACATGATCGTGATGCGGCTGGTTCAGAAGCAAAGCGTGACCTTCTTTTTCTCTTCTTTTTCAAAAGAATTTACTGTGCAAAATATGTTCACTGTTATTGCACGAGCGGCTGAACGTGAAGCTTAACTGGCAGCTTTGGTAATTTGAGAGGAAAATGCTGCTCCTCTGTACAGGGTGTTTCATCAGAATCTGTATACTTAACACTTGCTCGTTGTTTTTAATGATGGTGGACGATGTTTAAAGTGTAATCCGACTAATTTTGAAGGTGGGATATTTTCTCTTCCTTTTTGGACTTTGCTGTGAAAAATGATATTGAATATCAAAAACGTGATCTGTTTGAGACAGTATTATGATGTAATACGAAATTATTGTTAATACTGATAGTGTCAAAACGATGGAAATGATTAAGAAAAATTATAATTATCATTTCCAGTCTTTTAATATCAGAGAATGATTGCAATATAAAATATCACATTTTTACCTTTATTTTTAATCGAATGATATAAAATATGAGTAGCTGGTTTGGATTCGACACCTTGTATATTACAAATAGCGTCCATTCAATGGTCAAGAACGTATCGATTTATTGATTATTTTATTGTATTCGAACATTTATTCCATAAATTTCTTACAAGACTGCAAGTATTTTGTACGCCTTTGTACAAT